CTTGCATGAAACTATATCCAAATAATCATTAACACTGCCAATTCAAACTGGCTATTTAATATACCTATTCTATTTTCAAGTATTGCTCAGATAATCCATTTCATATACACATTCCCTTTCAAGTTGTGTACAGTGACATGTCAAATAAGTTAAGACCTTAACGAAGAAGTCAGTAGAATTTCCATTGTATACAACTGTTATTTCAGTTTCATCAAAACTAAGGAAGGTTATTTTAAGAGACTTTGAACAGATAATTCATTACTGATTCTAAAGTCTTTGGGATTATTTAAATTGCTATCATTCTAATTACTAAGATAAAATACATTTTAAGTTTTACAATTTAAAAAGTAGATTTTAAAACAGAAAAACAAATTTAAGATGTGAAAAAAGGAGGCTGGGGATGTGGCTCAAGCGGTAGCACGCTCGCCTGGCATGCATACGGCCCAGGTTTGATCCTCAGCACCACATACAAACAAAGATGTTGTGCCCGCCGAAAACTAAAAAATAAATATTAAAAAATTCTCTCTCTCTCTCTCTCTCTCTGTCTCTTTAAAAAAAAGATGTGAAAAAAACATTATCTTTAAGGAAAACTTTTTGGATGTATTTCCAAGAAATGTTACTAGATGAATACAAATACAAGACAAAACAGGAAGCAGGATTAGATTACAATGCCTACAATCTACCTAGAACACACAAGACACGACATACTCAATACACATTTGCTAAAGGAAACTTTAAATCTTGAGTAACAGGCATAGAGCCAATAATAAAACATATATTATCCTCCTTTCTTGGGGCTTCTAGTGAGAGAGCAAATACTTTTAAGTGAAATAATTTATATTTACAAATGTGTACATATACTATTTTGCCTGTAGCTTAAAGTCAGAATGAAATATCTGTTAGGTAAAAATTTTTATACAATTAAAAAAATTAACCAAATGAATTGGCCTCCTAAGAGCAACTGATTCACTTGAGCCAACATGGGCTATGCAAATGAGAAAAAAAAGACAAAAACTAAAACAAAATAAACCCTACAACTCTGCAGCTCCATTAGCTAGAATTTCAAGTAACTCAGTCTGTTAGGGATAAACATGCAAACACTATATGATGATAAATTCAATAATCATAAAGAAGTAGCTCAAAAGAAAGTGATTAATCTTTTCAGGTGTGGGGGCCATAAAAGGTTTCATAGATTTCTGAGCTGTTCACACTTTAAGGTAGAAGGTCAAAAGTGACAAGAAAGCATTCCAGGCACTGTGAAAAAATAATCTGGAGATTTCACAGGAGTAAAGTGCATGTGAGGAATCAGCAGGAGATGAGGCTAGATACACAAAGAGAAACACAACTATAAAGTCTTCTTACACCATGCTAAAATGCCTGAACTATTTCTCAAACAAGAGGTTACTAGGAGTTTAACCAAAGGACATGATTTGACAATGACAAGAATAAGATAATTTTCATTTGACTGCATTTAATTTCTCAAATATGAAGCAAGGAAGTCATCTGAGAATGGAAAAAAGAAAGGGACCCTAAAGATTAAAGGCAAGAGAAGGCATAAAATAAATATCTCTTTTGGATAACAACAGGGACTTGAGTAGTGTATAAAGGTATGTGGACACTGAATATTCATTAAAGCTATGTGATCATAACTTCAAGTTCAGTCAAAATGGTCCTGATATTCATGAATAAGGTTCAGTGCTTGGATATATACTGGTAGATAGTGGGGTTTAACTGGGTTGAACATTTTACAGAACAAGAATTACACAGGGAGTGCAGTGCAGGGAGTTAAAGCAAATGTTTACAGAATGAGAAAAACTAAGTTGAGAAAGGAAAGAAGTAAAATCATGTGAAAAGTTATAGTAAAAAAGAGTAGTAAGGTCAGTGAACAGAAGCTCTCAACAAGTTCAAGGACAGTTAAAAGAATATGGATATTAAAGTTAGCAAGCTAGAATCATAAGAACTTGTAATCATCAAGTGGGAGACTCTATAGAGGTTTAAATTTTAGAAGTAATAAAAAGATCATTGACCTTGTGAAGGGCAAGTAAATGAGTAATAAATTGAATTTTCAGAAAGTAATAATAGGTTGGAGGTGTAGCTCAGTGGTAGAGTGTAAGCCTAGTCCTGGATTCAATCCCCAGCACCACACACAAAAAATAAACTGAACAATTCTAAAGGAAAAAAATGATCCAGATACCACTGTTACCAGGAAGGAGGCATGAAGTTGATAAACCATGGTAACCAGGGAGGTAGGTAAAACTCTCATGACTGAATTTCAAGATGCTGAGGTTTCAAAAAGAAGAGAAATGGTTTGGAAACAGAAATGAGAAAGAAAGACACTCCTGCAACAACATCCATCAAGTTTTGAAAAACATGAAGATGTGGTGATGTGAGCAAGAAGACAACTTCCACTAGAGAAGGTAGCAGGGATAACAACATTTTTAGGAAATGAATCAAATTTTAGTTAGAACAAGAAGGTTAGGCAAAGAGGAAATGTCACAGAAGAAAGGGAAATCAGTACGTTTAATTGAGCCTTTCTTTAGGAATTTAAGCCTACATTTTAGAATTCACTTGAGCCAACATGGGCTATGCAAATGTTGTCATGATTCCTTCCTCTCACATGTATATATCACACATTCTGGGGGGAGGGGGGTACCAGGGATTGAACTCAGGGGCACTCAACCGCTGAGCCACATCCCCAGCCCTATTTTGTATTTTATTTAGAGACAGGGTCTCACTGAGTTGCTTAGCGCCTTGCCGTTGCTGAGGCTGGCTTTGAACTCGGGATCCTCCTACTACAGCCTCTGGAATTGATAGGATTACAGGCAAACCACATCTGGCACACTTTTGGGAATGTTTATAACACAGCACTAGTAGGCTTTAGCGCTCAGTTTCATGTGTCACTGTCCCTTTACCTCTTCAACAGCATCTGGAAAATGCAGAGTATTAAACAACTATTGATATGAATTACCAAATCCTTATTAAGCATCAAAAGATCATGCTTGGGGTTGTGGCTCTAGTGGCAGAGCGCTCGCCTTGCACATGCAAGGCTCTGGGTTGGATCCTCAGCACCACATAAAATAAATAAATAAAATAAAGGTATTGTGTCCTAACACAACTAAAAAAAAAAAAAAGATCATGCTATATGATACTAGATCAAGCTTTCAGTTATTGTTTTGCATTTCAGAAACCATTGGCAGTGAGTTGGAAGAACACTGAAAATGTCCTTTTAAATTCTGAAAGAAAAGGGCTAAGTATGGTAGCACATATCTTAGTCCCAGCTACTCTGGAGGCTGAGGCAGGAGGACCACAGGCTTGAGGCCAACCTGGAAAACTTACAAAGACCCTGTCTCAAAATGAAAAAAAGAAATGACTAGGGATGCAACTCAGTGGTAGAGCACTTGTCTAGCATGCCCAAGGCCCTGGGTTCAATTGGCAGTACTGAAAAAGTGAAAATGCAAATTTTAAAATTCCAAAAGGACAAAATTTTATAGGCAATATTAAAGGACACTAAGCTCCATTTATAAGTTCAATTGAAACTCTCTTTAGGAATTTAAGCTTATATTTTAAAACCTTAAATTCTCTTGTTGTGGCTCCTTCCTCTCCACGTATACTTAACACTTCTCTGAACTATTCTTTAGCACTGCACTAATAGGAATTACTGTGTAATTTACTTTTAATTAAGCAAAATGCCATCTTATTTTCAGGGGCTTTACTTTTTATATGTTAAGTTTTCACTCTGAAAGTATAGTAATTTCTTTGTGTGTCAGGGTAGACATTTAATATTTTCTGTCTTGATTCAGTCTGATTTATCTATAGGAGTCACATAATTCTAAGACAGAAATAAGCTATCTACAGTATGAAGTGTTATTTGACACTCTACAAGATCTTTAGAAGAATAATGAACTGGCACAATAGCTAAACTGTGGAGCCAACCTAGATGTACTTCAGTGGATGAATGGATAAAAAAATATATGGCATTTATACACAATGGAATATTACTCTGCACTAAAAAAGAATAAGATCATGGCATTTGCAGGGAAATGGATGGCATTAGAGAAGATTATGCTAAGTGAAGTTAGCCAATCCCAATAACCCCTGATATAAGGGGGGTGACTCAAAGTGGGGTAGGGAGGAAGAGCATGGGTAAAAATTACCTCTAGATGTAGGGAATAGGGGTGGGAGGGAAAGGGAGGAAGAAGGGGAATAGCAAGGATAGTGGAAGGAGACGGTCATCATACAAAATTCATGTATGAAGATGTGAATTTGGTGTCAACATACCATATATACAAACAGATTTGATAAATTGTGGTATAAAGGTGTATTAAGAATTGGAATGTAAAAAGATTATGAATGTAATGCACTCCACTATTGTCATGTATGTAAGAAAAAAAAGAATAATGAACTGGGATTTTTAAGAAATACTTTGAAATTATTTTAGTTATTCTTTTTATTTATTTATGTGTGTGTGTGTGGTGGGGGTTGCCGAGAATCAAACCCAGTGCTTTGTGTATATTAGACAAGCACTCTACTATTGAGCTGTGTTCCCAGCTCTATTTTAACTATTCTTAAAGAGAAATCCTTATGTGGGAAACATAAAGAGCAAAGTTTTTTATTCAGCCAAAAGAACAAGGGGTTGGGGTTGTTGCTCAGCAGTAGAGTGTTTGCCTAGAATGTGTGAGGAGCTGAGTTCAATCCTTAGCACCATATAAAAATAAGTAAATAAAATAAAGGTATTGTGTCCAACTACAATTAAATGTGTGTGTGTGTGTGTGTGTGTGTATGGGGCTGGGCTTGTGGCTCAGCGGTAGAGTACTTGCATAGCACACGTGAGACATGGGTTCGATTCTCAGCATCACATAAAAATAAAGGTTATTATGTCCACATACAACTAAAACAAATATTTTAAAAACATTATATACATATATATATATATATTTATTTATTTATTTATTTATTTTTAAAGAACACACCAAGCAAAAAATATAAGTCTCACATTTTACCTCGATAGTAGGCTTTGGTTATTGCATCAAATTCCTCTTGACCTGCAGTATCCCATAACATTAGTCTAACATCTTCATCATTAACTCTGAAAGGAGAGATTAATTTATTCCATATGAATGAAAATATTTTTTGTAACTTAGCTTTGTGTACATTTTTATTTTTCACATCCAAAAGTATTAAAACTACATTGTCAGTTTCACTCTGAAAAAGTCTATGAGTTCAGTATTTTTAAATGTTGATACTATTGCCAATAGTGAAAGCAAAGCTATATAGCTTTACATATGATTTGGATTTATCTCCCACTTTTCTCCTTCAACAATAGTCATGAATGGTAGTGACTCTGGGATTAGGAAGTATTGGCAAAGGGGAATTTCCTTAGGCCTGTGTTTATTCTTCTCTCACTACACCATTTTAATGGGTTCTGATGCCCTAGTGATAGAATGAGAATAAGAGAAAGCAGCTTACCTGCTTATTACCCTCCAACTAAAAAATTTTCTCTACTTTGTCATATTGTTAATTCTCATTATTTATAGGAGCTATGATCTAAAATATCACTATATATATATTTGTCTCTCTGTGTGTGTATGTAGTGCTGGAAATCAAACATAGGACCTCTCACTTGTTAGGCAAGTGCTCTACCACTAAGATATAACTCCAGTCCCATAATATCACTTTGAACACCAAATAAGCACTGAACCACACCACTCCTAGGGGAATTATAGGGTTAGGTTCCTGAGACCCCCTAGTTACATTTCATCACCTTATTTTATATGTGTTTTTAAGTACAGATACTTATTAATATAATTGTTAATTCATTAATGTTCAATTAATATCCAATAGCAAGCACTGTAGACCAATAACACTCTTATCTATGGCTGAACAAAGCTTGCCTAACACAAGTATTTTTCTCCATGAGGCACATCATACCTTCAATACAATACAAACTTCAGTACTATACCTAGGGGCCATTTTAAACAGTAATATCACTAACAAAAAAGCAGTAAATAAATAAATCCAAGATTATGTCCATCTACAACTAAAAAAATAAAAAATTTTAAAAAAGCATAAAATGTGAAAAATATGGCATTATAAGGAACACAAAAAAGACAAGTGTTTATTGTGTGAGAACTGAAACAAGAAAGAAAAGTAACACCTTGGTTTGACCTCAGCTAGGAAGGTACATGTTGGGTAACCCATATGCTGCTTTGCACATGTCCACAATAACTACAAAAACACTCAAGTACTTACTTTGTGATTACAAGTAAATTTTACCAAGTAGATGAATTTGCAAATAAAAACCTACGAATAATGAGGATCAACTATATACTTAAAATATTAATTTGGCTCCAGGTAATAAGTACAAGAAATATACACCATCAAGACTTAAAAGGAACCTTCTTAAAATATGTTCCAAGAAAGCAAGCAAATATGGAAGTACAAAAAAGCATCCCAGAACAGATTAAAAATTCATCTTTAAAACAATAAACACAGGGTTGGGGTTGTAGCTCAGTGGTAGAGTGCTCACCTTGCACACAGAGGGTGCTGGTTTCAATCCTCAGCACCACATAAAAATAAAATAAAAGGTACTCTGTCCATCTACAACTAAAAAAATATTTTCAAAATGATAAAACACAGTTATCTTTACTTGATGTTAGTATCTAGGCCAATGAATCAGATGTTTAATGTTCTTATTTTCTTTTGTCTCCTACAACCTAAAACAGTCTTTAAAGTTATCAAGATTGATGACAAAAACTATTACTGAGGTGTTTTAGAAATTCAACTGGATTTCCTGAAGTAGGATTTCCTTTTCATGGGCAAATTTAATCCTCCCAAATCTGTCTTCTCTTATACCTTTAAAATAAAAGCAAATTATTATTTCCTTAACTTCTAAGTAGTATTGCCCAGTTTTAAAAAGAGAAGAGACATTCTAAACAAAAGGCACCTGTAATGTAAGAGATGAAAACTTTATTTTGAGACAGGTAACTTTCCTTCTAAATAAAATAGGAAACAAAAATCTGTTTAAAGTCTATCACCATTTTATGTAATAAATATTCAAGTTATCACTAATAAACATAAAACATAAGAAAAAAATGGGGAAAGGGAGCACAGTAAAAATGAAAAAACAAGAGAAAGAGGAAAAGAAGATGAAAGGAAAAACAAGGATAAAGATATATATGCTAATGAATAATTGGAAATGACCATCAACTGTCACATGAGTCACTGCCACTGGTTGCTTAACCTTGGACTACTATAATTAGTTACTATTACTACAATGAAAGTCTTGGATATAGTTCACAACTCAAAACCAAAGGGATAAAGCAGTCAACTACATACTGGATTTGTCGCTCTAAAAAGTCAACTCCAATGGTTTTCTTGTAGTCTTTTGTAAAAATGCCTTTGCAATATCGCTGAATCATACTTGATTTTCCAACTGCTCCATTGCCTACAACCACCATCTTGATGGCCACTTCCATATCTTCCTCCAACATTTTTGAAGTAGAAATGGTTTCAGTACCAACTGCAATTCCAAGTGATCAGAACTTCTCTTTCACACCTGTAGTTTAAAATGAAATTATTCTTTATGACACAAAAATTGTACAAAATAAAATAAACCATAACTGTTTTATCAATAAATAACACTGCAAGAATTAATTTCCAAGACTAGGGTCTCATTCTACCTCTTTTAGATAAATTTTTTGGAACACAATAATTTTTGATACCACATCAACAGCACAATGCATGACATTCATATATCAACAAATGCCTAATTCTACATAGCATTCTGTTTCATACAGACCAAGCCTATGGGCATTGCAACTGAGGCTTGATTTAAAGTTACCACTTACTACTAGTAATGTACTCTTGGTGAAGTTATTGCCTAACTTCTTTAAGCTTCTGTATCCTGGCAATAAAATCTACCTCACAGTGTTGTTGATCATGGATACATATAAAGGACTTACCATAGTGAAAGTTAAACATGCAAAACTTAGTAGTTTTATGTAGCATAATAAATACCCCCACAGTATTACACCAAATGGGTAGCAAATGTAAAATCTGATAAAAATGTTTTTTAACCTTATAGGTAATAATTAGCATCCCTAGAAAAACACCCCAAAGAAAGGTTTACAATGAATCCTGTACAATTTTTTTATTTTAATTTTTCACACTTTTTTATTAGCGCATTATAGTAGTACATTAATGATGAGTTTTACTGCTACATATGCATACATACACACAATATAACAATATAATTCGGCCAATATCACTTGGATATTGTTCATAATCAATTCCCCCCTCCCTCCCCACCTCACAACCCCTTGGTCTACACAAATCTTATACCATATATTCTTTCTTTAGTTTTGGACCAGTTACAGTTAATTACTAGTTAGGCCCCTGCCGTATTTATTATATTCTAACTACTTTAACTGAAAACTCTTTATACAACCACTACACAAAACAAATCTGAAATGTGAAGAAAATTCCTTTCTTTGTCCTTAGTAGAGTCTCAGCAATTGCCCCTGGTACTTCACAAACTTGCCTGATCATAAGAATCACCTGTCAGTACTTGCTAAAGTAGAGGCTCTAAGTCTGTGATATAATTCATCAGAAATCTCAGAGCACTAGTCCTGCAATTCTGAAATTTTAAAATGAGCACAGAAGTATACAATTTAATTATCCTTTCAAAAGAGATGCTATGTTGAGTGTGCAGGCACCACACCCTCCTTAGGATCTATTGCACTACCCACTTCTTTTAAGGCCATACTCTCCCCAAGTGAAGAGCAAACAGGAAGGACAACTATGCCCAACATGAGTCAGGCCAATTCTGCCCAGTGTGGGATTCCTTTTTGTGCAGGGTCTCCCCATCAAACTGGTTGAGGTTTTCTGGCAGCCGCAGACTGGGGCTCTTTCCATTCAATCCTCCTTTCTCCTTTCACAGGCATCAAACTGGCATTGCAGTCTGAAGGACTCCTCTTGATCATTTTGCATTTCCGCCAATAACTCTCTTATGCTTATAATTCCTTCCTGACATTTGCTTTTTGAAGGACTCAAAATAGGCAAGTGATTTTATAATTAGACAAATGATATAACTGTTAACCTTAGGCTAGTGACTCTAAACCTTGACTATACACTGGAATAACCTAGAGAACTTTAAAAATTACTAATGCTTGGATCCTTTCTCTGAGAATATGATTTAAGTGGTCTAGGATACAAGCTGGATATCAAGTACCACCACCCTTCTACTCTATGAAAAGGTCTGTCTTCAGGACACTTACAGTAAAAATCAAAAATTCCTACCATGCCCTGACCCCTATTCATCTAGCTTTATCTCACACCAGTTGAGTTCTTGGAAGGCAATTTCCTTCTCTCTACCTAAATAATTATTTATGCCAAAAGATTATGAAGTTTAAAATAATAATAATAAAAAAGCTACAACAAAATGTATCATAGTTTACCCTTTTAAAAATATATACTTCAGAGATATGCTTCTAAAAGATTAGACATCTCTTTCCCTATTCATTAATTTTATGTATAATTTAAAACTCTGGATATTATACATAAAACAAACATAAGGTTCTAAAAAGTAGAAAGAAGGGAGCTAGGTGCAGCAGCATATACCTATAATCTCTGTGACTCAGGAGGATGAGGAAGGAGGATCAAAAATTTGAGGTTAGCCTCAGCAATTTAGTGAAACCCTGTGTCAAAATTAAAAAAAAAAAAAAAAAAAAACAGGGCTGGGGATGTGGCTCAAGAGGTAGCGCGCTCCCCTGGCATGCGTGCGGCTCGGGTTGGATCCTCAGCACCACATACAAACAAAGATGTTGTGTCCGCGGAAAACTAAAAAATAAATATTAAAAATTCTCTCTCTCTCTCTCTCTAAAAAAAAAAAAAAGAAGAAGAAGAAGAAGGAAGACTAGCTATGTACCTGGCTATGGACCACAGGATATAAGGAACAAAGTCGTGAATTTTCCTTGAGTTTCTCATATATCTCAGACTGGATGATGGAGGCACCAATAATCAAGAAATGCTGATAAAAAAAAGACCCAACAAAAGTCTACTCTTTTTAGCCAAAGGACCAGAAAAAGTGCAGCCTAGCAAGAGCAAGACAGAAAACATACTCTTGTGAGAAATATAATGATGTGACCTAATTCCCCCATGAGGTGATATCAGAGAAGACCAACTGAAGAGCCACCACTTTCATCCCCACTAGGAGGTCATGAAGGGACCCTCAACCCCAAACCACCATCATATGGGGAGCCTAGACATCCACCCCATCCAGCAGTTGTCATCTCTATTCACCTGTACGTCCCTTTCCTTGCTGGGGTGGTGTTAGAAGATGCCTATTAAAAAGGCAAAACTTTCACCAACTTCCCTCAATATAGAGTATGTTCACTGACATAGAGTATGTTCACTGACCACAATGAAATCAAACTAGAAATCACTAACAGAAAAGTAACAGGGAAATCTCCAGACATTTGAAACCAGAAGCACATACTTCTAAACAATCTATGGATCAAAGTAATCTAAAGAGAAGTTAGAAACATTTTTTTAAAATAAAAATAAGAGAACAACATATGAAAATGTGTAAGACACAACAGATTTCAGAGTTACCTTAGAAGAGTAACTCAAAAACCAATCTAAGCTCCCACCTCAAGAAAACAGAAAAAGAGCAAAATAAACCCAAATCAAACAAAAGGAAGAAAATAATAAAAAACAGAAATTAATAAAATTTTAAAAAACTAAAAGCTAATTTTGGAAAAAGTTCAATAAAAATGACAAATCTTTAGCAAGATTAATAAAGAAAAAAAAAAGCAGACACAAATTACCAATATCAAGGATGAAATGGCAGAGACCAGAAAGATATTTCAAATAATACAATTTCAGACATAAAAATAAACAACTCTTCACACTGTATCTGACAACCTACATGAAATGGAGATCAAAAAGTATAAACTACCACAACTTACACAATAAGAAATAAGATTATTTGAATGGTTCTATAACTATAAAGGAGATTAAATTTGTAACTTTAAAATTCAGGGAAAAAAATCTTCAAACTCAGGAGATTTCAAAGGAGAACCCCATAATACATTTGAAAAATTAAAACCAATGACAAAAATCTCTTTCAGAATAGACAGAGGAGAGAAACAATTCCCAATTCGTTTTATGAAGCCAACATTATCTTGAAACCACACAAAAGTACCAAAAAGAAAAATAGACAAATAACCTCTTATGAACAAAGATGCAAATTTCTCAACAAAATATTAAAGTGAATTGAGTAATATAAAAATAACAATACACCACAACCAAATGGGCTTTATTCTGGGAAAGGAAGCTGGTTTAATATTTGAAAATTAGTTAATGTAATACACCACATTAGGCTGGGGGGCGGGAGTGCATGACAATATCAACTTAACATCCTTTTGGGGGGGGCGGACAACTCCCAGCAAACTAGAATCCATAAGACTTTTCAACCCAATAAAGAGCATTGAAAACGTAAAACCTACAGTTAACATCATACTTAATTCTCAAAGACTAATAGCTTTTCCCTTAGACTGGGAACATGGTAAGGATGTTCACTCTCACTACTGTATATCATACACAAAATCCTAACCAGTACAACAGCCAACAAAATTTTTTTAAATTTAGAAAATAAATAAAACTGTCTCTATTCACAAATGACAGGATTGTCTCTGTAGAAATATCCAAAGAATCCCAAAGAATCTACAAAACAATAAACAAAAGAAAACAAAACACCCTGCAACTAATATTAGTAAGTTTAGCAAGGTCACAGGATACAAGGGCAACACATAAAATTTAACTATACTTTTATATATTAACAATGTACAATTTGAAAAAAGAATTTAAAATATCAGATTTATAAAAGCTCCCAAAATTTTAAAAAATTACAAAAAAAACCCTAAAAACTACAAAACATACAGGATCTGTATACTGAAAATTACAAAACACTACTAAACATAATAATAAATAGAACGACACAACATGTTAATGGATTGGAAGACTCTACAAAGTAAAAACAGCAATTCTTGGGGCTGGGGTTGTGACTCAGAGGTAAAGTGCTAGCCTACCATGTGTGAGGCACTGGGTTTGATCCTCAGCACCACATAAAAATAAAATAAAGATATTGTGTCTACCTATAACTAAAAAATAAATGTTAAAAAAAACAGCAATTCTCAAATTGATCTATGGATTTAATACAGTTCCAATCAAAGTATCAACAAGATTTCCCAGACAAGCTAGCTTTACAACTTATATGGAAAGGCAAAGGAACTAAAATAGCTAAAAAGAAAGAAAATTGAAGGAAATCATAATGCCTAATTTAAAGACACTGTAAACCTAACTTAATCAAGAAAGTGTGATACTGGCAAAGGGAAAGTACATTAATCAATGCAACAGAACAGAGGGCTCAAAATAGATCCACACAAAAACAACCAATTGATTTTGACAAAGGTGGGGAAAGCAATTCAATGGAGAAAAGAGAGTCTTTCAAAATATGGTGATGAAACAATTATACATCCACATGCAAAAAAGTAAAAGTTTCATCTAAATTTCACAAACAACTCAAAATGAATCACAAAGCTAAATGTAAAACTGTTAACTTTAACAACAAACAAATTTTTTTAGAAGGAAGAAAATTTTCTTGACCTGGTGTTAGACAAAGAGTTCTTGGACATAATGCCCAAAAGACACATTTAAAGGAAAAACTTATAAACTGGACTTCAGTAACATTAAAATCGTCACAATAACAAAAAGACAAACTAAAGACTGGGAGAAAACATTTGCAAAACACGTGACATAAAATTTGTAACCAGACATATAAAGAATCCTCAAATCTCAACATAAGAATACAACTCAAAAATTGGGCAAAAGACTTGGCTACATAACTCACCAAAAGTGTATACATATCAAATGAACATATCAAAAGATATTCAACATCTTTGGCCATTGGTTAAAGCCAATGAGATACCACTATGACATACTACTACACAACTGAGTGTATAACTTTACAACTTAAAAAACTCAGAGGAAAAAAAATGTCTAGGCTCAAGTGATTTCAGACTGGGAAAGTTAAAATTACTGACAAAAGTCAGACATGGGAGGAACACTTGAGCCCAAGAGCTCAAGACCAGCCTGCAGGGAGACCTTCCTTAAAAAAAAAAAAAGACAGTGTCAAGTACTGGGAAAAATGTGAAAGGATGTGGAGAAACTAGAATTCTCACCTTTTGCTGGTGGGACTGCAAAATGACACAGCCACTCTGGAAAATAGTTTGACAGTCAACGAGTTAAACATAATATAATCCTAAAATCTCACAGGTAGCATTACCCTAGAAAAATGAAAAGTTCACATAAAAATCTGTACCATGTATTTATAGCAGCTCTATTCATAACTGTCTAAAACTGAAAACAACCTAAATGTTCTTTAATGGATGGATGTATAAATGAGTAGATGAATGTGACATATCAAGCTAAGGAAATACTACTGGGAAGAAAGGAAGAAAGAAAAGCGTTAATAATTGATGGATGTGGTGGTAGTGCAAATCATAAATTCAAAGCCAACAATGGCAATTTGAGACCCTGTATCCAATAAGAAAAAAAAAAAAAAAAGATGGGGGTGCTGGAGATGTAACTCAGTTCACCAGGCCCTGGGTTCAATCTCCAATACCACAAAAGAAAGAAAAAAAATTATCCTAATATGAAACAACTTGGGAGGGATCTCAGAGCATCATGGTTAGTGAAAGAAGCAGTATCAAAAGGTCTCATTCAACATCTTTGGGCGTTGGTTAAAGCCATATTAAAATCACAATGAGATTCCACTACACAACTGAGTGTATAACTTTACAATTTACCAAATCTCAGAGGTAGAGCGCTTGCCTAGCATGGGTGAGGCACTGGGTTCAATTCCATGAACCACATAAAAAATAAATAAACAAATAAAATAAAGATACTGTGTCCATCTACAACTAAAAATATATTTTAAAAAAACTCAGAAAAAAAATGTCTAGGCTCAAGTGATTTCAGGTATAATGGCAAACTTAAAATTACTGACAAAAGTCAGATATGGGAGGATCACTTGAGCCCAGGAGTTCAAAGACCAGCCTGCAGGGAGACCTTGACTAATGATTCAATTTAAATGACATTCTGGAAAAGAACAGTAATTGACAGGAGTTAGGGGTAAGGAGTGAGATATAAAGGAATAACAGGTGGTAAAACTGCTTTATGTCCTGACTGTAGTAGTGGTTACATGAATCTAAAATTCACATAATTTTACATCCTCCTCAAAAGTCAATTTTACCATAAATTTCAAAAATAAAATTGAAAGAAAAAAGTGAAAGCAGATCTTAACATAACTCTTGAGATTTTTCAGTCACTACAAACTTAAAAGCCTACATCAAAACAATGATGTCCTTAGAAAAGCCGAATTCTGAGTATAATTAAAACCTTGACAGTAATGCTTTTATGTAAACACCCTTTCCCTACAAACTTAATTTTAAAATTAATTGGCCAAACAATTAATTAGAAATGAAAAGAATTCGTCAACTCTGATCAAAAAGTGTTTTTTCGTTAACAACTTGTAATTAAAAACTTCCTAGAGTCAATGAAGTTACCTAGAACATAACATATTAGAAAGTTATGTAAAAACTAGAGAAGTAAATAGCCTACTTTGGACCCCACCGCCACTTCACTAGCTCCTGATTCTTAACTCTCTCACACTCGGGTACATATTCCTGGAAACTACTGTAGTTAAATCTCTGAGTAAAGAAATTCTGTGGCAGCCAGCGTCAATGAAACAGTACAGTCTGGCTCATTCATATTCTAGCAGTTGGAGCGAGAAACTAGGGAAGGGTGGGGCCGCGGCTAAGGAGGGGCCCCCACTGCGGGGAGACTAGGGGTCTGAAAGCCCAGCCAGGGCAGACCTTGGACCCTCCTCCCGCGCAAACCTAACCCGGCACTCTAGGTCCCCCGCTGGTGGGTCGCCCGGCTGGGCCACCCCTTTCTCCATTTGGGGCTGGGGGACTGCAAGAAGCTGGATGCTCAGCCAGCCGGAGGGATGGACGTGGGGAGACGGCGCCTCGCTCCACCCCACTCTTTCCCGCCCACAAGGTAATCTCTGGCACCGCTGCCCACACAGATCCGACCGCTGGGAACTGAGAATGGGCGCCGGGCCCCCCACCTCCTCCCTAAAACTTGGGCTCTGTGTTCAGCAGGGGGGGATGGGAGCCGGGCCTGGAGGCCCCTGCCCCCACGCCCCTCTCCGCAGCTCGGCGCAAGGCGCTTCCCGGGACCCCAAGAGAAGCGGGTCCTTCCCCAGCGGAGGCCGAGAACCTCAGGCGGCCCTGGAGAGGGCAGATGAGCGCAGCGACGCTACCCCGGAGCGCGAGCCGCTACTCACCGTCCCTCGCCAGCAGCGGACCCGCCGGCCGGCTCGACCGGCTCCTCCTGGTCGCGGCGCAACCGCCACCGCCTCCCAACGCGCCAGCTCCCCAGGGGGGCCGCCCGACTGCCTCGCACCTTCTTTCTCACTTTTAAAAATGACTATGGATTTTAAACTAACTTTATTAGCACTGAGGTCTCAGATCGAATGGCTAAGCGGTGGCTCCACCGGGGATGGCGGGGCGCGGGAGACTCGACTCCCCTCAACTGGGGACCCGCCGCACTGTGGAGCATGCGCCGGGCTTGTTCTGCGCATGCTCCGCGCCAAACCGTGCCCCGCCCCACCCCTGCACCGGCTGGTGGTGGAGTGGGCGGCTGCAGTGGGATCCCTGTCTCCTGACCGGGCGCGTACACCCAGAACTCCAGAGATGAGAAGGATTTGCTAGCCCGTAGGATCTGGAAGAAAGAACTCAAATGAAGAAGGTCCGCATAAGTTTACCGAAACAGCGATCAGACTCCGGAGTCCTCAAAGCTCTTTCCTCGCCCCCAGTGCACACCTATTTTCTTTTTTCTTTCTTTTTTTTAAAGAGAGAGTGAGAGAGAGAAAGTGAGAGATAATTTTTTTTAATATTCATTTTTTAGTTTTTTTTTTTTTTTTCAGTGGGCACAACATCTTTGTATGTGGTGCTGAGGATGGAACCCGGGCCGCACGCATGCCAGGCGAGCGCGCTACCGCTTGAGCCATATCCCCAGCCCATTTTCTTGAGTTGGAGACATCCAAGTGGCAGTGACCAAAACTGTCTAGCAAAGTGAAAATGCACTCACAGCCAACAGGATTTAGCTGGATGAGGTAGAAGCCTGAGTTAGTTAGTAATTCAGAAAACCAACTCCCAAGCTAAAAGGTCCTGCAAAAAGCAACCAAACTTGTCCCAGTTGCCTCTAATTTCCAAATAAAATAGGGAAAAAATGATGGAAAATACCTAGTGTTGGCGAGTATCTGAAGTTATTGCAAGTAACTGAATTATTTTACCTTACTCCTTGGATGTAAAGTGGAATAATAATTGAGAAACAAACACTATTCGCTAAAGGTGCATATTTGACCCTGCCATTCAGACCCTACACTTCCAGCTGAGAGAAATGTATTTATAGGTGCAGCGACAGGCAAGTATCAGAATGCTCATAGCTGCATTTGTTGTAATAGGCCCAAAGGTCAGTATCTCAAAAGACCATCAACAGTAAGTGAACAGATTCTCACAATGTTCACAGGAACACAACATGGCAATGCAAAGAACCATTTGCAACTATAGGCAACAGCATGGAGGAACAATGGAAACCCAAAGTTGAGTATAAAAATTTAGACACAAAAGTACATACTAACGTTTCCCACCTCCCTATTGTTAAGTCAAAGTTCTTGAGACTATGGGTTCTCTGAAATAAAAGGGCTTATTGAGCCATTGCAGATATCAGCCAGGAAAAAAAGGACCCAGTCCTGGGAAAAGATCCCCAACAACCAGCAGCAAAGCTAGGTAGCGGTTGGAAATATGTCTGCTGGAACTAAGAGCCAAGGGCATTTAAAAAATGAAAATTTGAGAAAGAAAAGCATTCATAGCTTATGTTGAACCTACATTGCCTATACATAAGAGGAGTGATTTAACAAAACAGAGGAAGTTTTAAGATAGGAGAACAGTCCATAAAGAAAAGTACTTGTTGCTTCTGGATTGGTTGGAGTTAATAGCCTGGGAAATCCATTTGTAAGAGAATTGGTGAAACCTGGTGATCAACTGCCTTGGGACTTTCTTTCTTTTATTTTCCCCTTGCTTCTTGTAGTACTAAGCATTGAACCCAGGGCCTTCTACATGCAGGTAAATGCTCTACCTTTGAGTCCATCCCTCAAAATTTTTGAAAACTTTGAGTCAGTGTCACACTAAGTTGCCTAGATCTACCCAGAATTTGTGCTCCTCCTGCCGTAGCCTCTGGAGTAGTTGGAATTATAGGCATGGTTTCCCTTGGGTTTTGGGTTAAGATCTCAACATACATTCAGGAACCTGCAGCAGTCTTACTGATTTTGGCCAGTAGATATTAACTGATTAACTTACCATATCTCTTCCCAACTCTATCCTCTGGCCCTTGTAATCAAATTTAGGACATCTCAGAGGAGGAAATTAAGACATCAACAGGAGAAAAATTAAGCTATTGAAAATTACTGTATGGTTACCTTGGTGGATAGGCTATAGTGATTGGAAGGGTTAATAACTGGAAGAGGGGTTTCCAGGATGCTTGTAAGGTTCTCTCTGTTGATCTTGGTGCTAGTTACATGTGTCTGTTTGTGAAAATCCAAACTGTACTCTTATGTACATTTGGCGGGGGGGGATGATGTTGTGAATTATACTCCACATGTAGCAATTTTTTAAATTAAACATTTCAAATTTAAAATTTAAGGAGTGTTTATGTACCTATAATGATGACATTATTTGCAACAAAATTAAAGTCAATATGCAACAGATTTATCTCTAGGATTTGGATGGCAGTTAGTTATGCCCCCCACAAAGGCATAGACACTGGTTTATTTAGATAAGTAGGTAACATATTCAAGGGAGAATGTGGGCTATCTCCAGAAGAAGAGGCAGACTGGTAGTATTTCTTAAACTTTAGGGCAATGCATTATGCATTATTTCCCTTTAGAAGAAAAGGGTGGGGGCAACAATAAGTGGGCAAACTTGAAGAAACATTTCTCCAAGAAAGATAAACATGGGCCAACAAGTATATGAAAAGAGGTGAAACATCACTAATCACTAGGGAAATGAAAATCAAAACCATGAGATACCACTTTACAAAGTTAGGATAGCTGTTATAAAAGGAGGCCGTGGTGGCAGCACAGCCTGTAATCCCTGAGATTTGGGAGGCTGAGGCAGGAGGATTGCAAGTTTGAGGCCAGCCTCAGCAATTTAGTGAAAGCTTGTCTCAAAATAAAAAAGAAGAAAAGGACTGGGAATGTAGCTCAGTGGTATAATGCCCCTGGGTTTAATTCTCAATACTCCAAAGTGAATGAACAAACAAAAACAAAAAGCCCCAACCAGAAAATAATAAGTGTTAGCAAAAATGTGGAGAAATTGTAACCCTTGTGCACTGCTGGTAGAAATGTAAAATGGCACAATCACTAGGGAAAACAGTATTGCTCACAAAAAATTATAAGTGGAATTTCAGAATGACCCAGGAATTTCACTTCCGGGTATATACAAAAAGACTTGAAAACAGAACTTTAAACAGATATTTGTACAAGTACATTCATAGCAGCATTATTCACAATAGCGAAAAGTTGAAAGAAACACAAGTGACCATCAGTGGATGAATGGAGGAACAAAATATGATATAGACATAAAATAGAATATTACTTGACCTTCAAAAGGTGGAAAGTTCTGACACATGCTTCAAATGGAACAAACTTAAGGTTATAATTTATGCTGAGTAAAACAACACAGCCACAAAAGAACAAATGCTATCTAATCCAAGTTACATAAGGTGTGTAGGGCAGTTAGATTTACAGAGAAAGAAAATAGAATGGTGGTTGCTAGAGGCTTGGAAAGAGGAGAATGGGGAGTTAGTGCTTAATGTGTATAGAGTTTCAGTTTTACAAGATGAAAAAAGATCTGGAGGTGGATGATGTGGTGATTGTACAACAATTGCATGTAATTAATGCTCTGAAACTATACACTTAAAAATGGCTGATATGGGGCTGGGGGCGTAGCTCAGTGGTGGAGCCCTTGCCCAGAATGCATGTAGCATTGGATTCAATCCCTAGCACTACAACAACAACAACAAAAAAAAAAAAAAATCAGTGGGCTGGGGGATAGGCAGCAATGTGGCTGCTAAAATGGTAAATCTTATGGGTATTCTACCTTAATTTTTGTAAAACAGGAAAGTAAAGCAGAAAAAGGGAAAAAAAAATTCTACAAATTCTCAGAATATGTCTGAGGATCCAAATTTGAGCAAACCCTACAGAAGGGTATCTCCAAAATTTTTTTTTTTTTTGTTTTCCTTACCTGCTCTTTCAGTTTCTGGGTATTGTTGGTTACTGAAGAAGATCAGATCCTGAGTTAATGCAGGAAGTGAAATGATTGGATTATGAGTCTGTTAACCTAATCAGTGGGTTAATCCATTTGCTGGATTAGTGATTTGAATAGATTACTAGATTACTAGAAAACTAGGCAAGTGGGACATGGCTGGAGGAAGTGGGTCCCTGGGATATACATACCTCTGGGATTATGTATTTTGTCCCTGGCTCCTCCTATTTTCTCTATGATTCCTGGCTACCATGGAGTGAGCAACGTTGCTCCACGCACCTTTCTTTTGCTATGATGTTCTGCCTCATCTTAGGCCCAAAGCAATGGAGCACGCTGACCATGAACTGAACCTCTAAAACTGTAAGCCCCAAATGAACTTTTCCTGCTCTAAGTTGTTCTTTTCAGATATCTTAGTCATGACTACAAAAAGCTGACTATAATAGCCACTTTGGCATGAGGGATGTTTGAGCTAAAGAAACAATTTAGAAATTGTAGACACCAGAACTTTCTGCTTTCCCCCTTTCTTCCTAAAAGTAGAGCATAAATATCTTCCTTGGAGATATCCTAGTACTTGAATCTTAGATCAGAGGTCTGACTCTTGAGGTCCCAACAAACTGGGTCCAGACACTCACTCCAAAAAACAAACAGAAAAATAATGATGAAAACAGGAAAAGAACTTTACTCAATATGACCATATTGGGATGGTAAAGTAAGATGCAACATTTCAGCCCTATCTTCAGGGTGCTAATAGGAACTTTAGATTTAAATAGAACAAGAATTGAGATGGGGGCAAGAGGTATGCATAATTAAGCAGTGGCCAAACTGTGGTCTGGTTGATTATTATTTTAGTTCTGATTTTACGAGGTAGCTCTGGAGAAGTCCTTATTGCTTGAGGTGGGGGCAATTATCCACTTGCTGTTCAAGATATTTATCTCTCATACCTGTGATCCTGGAAGGGGGCAGTTCAATCCCAAGAGGTGATCC